TTTGTTAATAAAGCGGGCATTGTGTAGTCTTTTGTATTTTTCTATTGCAATCTGCAGAAGAGAATTAAATTCTTTTTAATGTTGTGGTTGGGTCTCTTTGTTTCTTGAGAAAGATCGAAAGAATGCGGAGTCCAAATAGGTGAATTTTTCATTAATTGCATATGGTATATTGTATTGAGTTGGATTGATTTGAATTTTATGTTGAAGAAATTGGAGAAGTAACTTAGATGATGAGAATGTATTAATAATAGTGTCATTATTCCAAGTTTCTGAGTCAAAGTTAGTAGAGCGAGCATTGGCTAGTGCGGTCGTTACAGAGTTACACCAGGTGAGTGAGTGGTCATCTTTATTGTTGTTTTTAGGGAGGTTAGAAGTGAGTGCTTTGCTATAAGTTTTTTTTGGGGGGTTAGTGATTCAATTGTTGCATTCAATTGGGTATCCATTGTTTCATCCAAATATTCGTTGGGTTGGGTATATCTTGTAGATTCTTTATTCATTGTTAGAGAAGGTTCTGGGTTTCAGGGGTTGGACTGGGTTAGATTGGGGAATGGATCGGAGTTGTTTTGTTGATCTGTTGTGATGATCATCAGTTGGGGTGCAGGGGTATGTGCATTGATATCCACTTTGGGTTGTGGGTTCTGGTATTTTCCCACGCTTGTTTGTTTGTTTCCCATATTTGTTTGTTTGTTTTGATGGGATGATGTTATAGCTATTTTTGATAGGGGTTTACTAGATTGCCCACTTTGAGGATGCAGTTGAGTTGTATTAACTACTAAAAGCTGAGAATGGGTATTTGAGTTGGTGTTATTGCTTTTACAGTATTTTCTATAGTTTTTTTCTTCTTTAGCGGCAGAGGGTTATCGGGTATGTTGGTTGTTATATTGCTATTGTTTTGTTTGTCTGAGGTTCCAGAGGGATCCATCAGAGGTGTATTGGATGTAGTAGCAGAAATAAAAAAAAGTTTGAAAGCTTCGGGAGTGGTAAGAAGAATATCTTTGTCTCTTTTCAGCCTTAGAGCTAATATTAAGTTGTAGTATGTAGAATTCTAAGCACTAAAGAGCAGTTATTTAGATTTTTACTCTATATTCGTTGTAAAATTCTATCATTTTGTTTTGTTTACTTATAATTTTGGGATCTACAGGAAAGAGTTTTGATTTTCTTGCTTTATTGACAATGATAGCTTTTATATTTTGTTAAACAAATTTAAAATTAGTTGATCTCTCTTATAATAATACAATACTGTAGAATCATTCCAATAAATTTTGAAATACAACCAAATCACTTGTTGAACAATGAAAGTTCTATATGCAAACAAGAAATAAGAGATCAGGTTATTGGAATGAAGAGTTATAGTAAAAAAAATGATCACATATTATTTGATTAATAATTAAATATAATATAACACGATCAGGAATAACGTAAAAAAACTTGCTCCAAAAATTTACATAACAAACTGACTTTTGTACTCTAACAAAATTCTTTCTTGTGAAATTTTGCTTTATAATATCAACTCTTTTATAATAATTCTAATTATAAATTTAATAAACAATGAGAAATGTATTGATTATTATATGTATGGATAAATTCTGATTATAGGATAAATGTAGATAATTGGGATTGAGATCAGATACATAATATGATGCAATAATTAAAATAGAAGTATAAGAGTAAACTAAGAGGAATAATGTAAATAATTTGTAATTGATTATAATAAAAGAAATAAAGAAAATTGGTCTTTCGCTTCAATTGATTAATAAATAACACATATACTCCTAGTAATAAAAATAACAAGATCTTGTGAAATATTCTATAACAGACAGTACCAAGTTGGATTTTGGTAGTAGCCTACTACTACTTAACCCCACAACAGATCTCATTATACATATTAATAATTATGCACTTTTAATCAGTTATATAACTTTAGAGTAATTTTTAATATATCCTATTAAACATAAAAATAATTTAATTATGACATATAAAACAAATTATGACATGATCACAATAATATGATACTATATGCATGATCAGATATTATAGTAAATTATATTTGGTTACAATATAGCTTATTCTAATACTTTAAGATTTTACTATATTGCTACTCTTTAATACTTTATTATCAAAATTTAAGATATTTAAATTGAAAAAAAGACTAATTTTAAAAAAAAATTTAAATTGAAAATAATTTAAAATCAAAAAAATTTAAAATTTAAAATTCACTACAAATTTCATATGCATTATAAAATGAATTAACTTTTTTGATTTTTTAGTAACTTTTTAATTAGGTTTACGTTTAGGCTTCTTTAAAATTTTAAATTTTAAAAAAAGTCAACAAAAATAGACTACACATGCCAATATTTTGTAAACAAACTACCAGTTATTAAAAAACTATTATTCTTGTAGCAAAAATATATCAAAGAGAACTCTATTGCATTTTAAAAATAGTATTTTATTCACTAAATCTGAAGACAGATGGGTTTGTTTTGCTAAAATATGATTGCCAGTATCAGAGAATAATCATTCACTTGGAACTGATATTACTAGGATAGAAAAATATTTACATACTAATTGGGCCAAAACAGACAAGCTACTTTTATTTTTTAGCCACCACTTTAAAGAATCATCATTAACTCTGATTTCTTTCAACTTAATATAGTTCTTTACTTCATTATCATCATCTGTTTCGGCTTGTATAAAACTCACTTCCAACTTACAAAAAAAGTTATCATTATTATTATTATGATTTTTATTCACCGAATTCTCTTCATTGTTATCTAGAATAGCAAGGTTTATTTTTAATTTATTATATAGACTTTTTACCAAATTCTGTGCTCTATTTCGCTCAATGTCTGTTGCCCAATTAAAATATTTAAACCTTGAATCGAGGAATGTGGCAACTAAAACAATGTTTGTCAGAACTTCTTATAATTCATCTAATAACAGATAAATAGCAGCTCAAACTCTAATAATCAAACTATTAGTAACAATCTTCTAACTCAGTATTATTAGATTGTCTTTATATTCTTGTATTTTATCTTCAACTACAGGAAGCCATCTTTTGGCTAAACTGTCTATATGCATACTGCCATTGTTAACAAGTACTAGTAGCTAGTGATATGAACAGCTAGAGCTGAGCTGCAAGCCGAACAGCTAAGCTAAGCCAATCATCAGCTTGGCTATGGGTCTACTAATAAGGTATTGGCTCCAAAAATAGCTTGGTTAAGACTTTGAAGCTGATCATTAGCTCAGCTTTAGGTCTACTAATAAAGTATCAACTACAAAAATGACTGACTATTAGCTAATAGTAGATTACTAAGTATTATAACTTAAATTATGCCAAGGGTGATCGGCTTATAAATGGCTCAGCTCGAGAGTGATCAGTTTATATATGACTCAGCTCTGGTTGTAGAGCCAAAGGATTGGCTCAGCTTAGTAAATATTAGCCATGAGCTAAGCCGAGCTGAGCTGTTTACATCACTACTGGCAGCAAGAATATTATTATCAGAATCAGTACTTTCATTTTCATCGTCTTCAGCTTCTTCTCTATAAATTAGATCTAAATAGTCATCGACTATTTTATCTGTTTTTGGAGTAAATGCTTTTTTGAGCAATTCCATATATAGGTAGACAAGATTAATAGTTGAATATTTGGTGCTATATAAACATCGAGTTACTCTTTCAATTGGTTCCAGTAAGTTTATTACATCTTGTAAAAATCTATATAACAAAAAAAAAAAACTTTAAAATTTTATTAAAATAAAGAAAATTTTTATTTTTGAAATTAGAGCAAAAAAAGATAGATAAAAGAATAAATTAAATATAGATATGATCTAATTTATATAACTTTGGCAAAATAAAACTTAAAAAGAAATGATTTTAATTTTAAAAAGGTCTAGCAACTTTAACAATTAGTAAATTAAAATAGTGGTGGTAAAAAAATTTATAATTATGTAATCACAGACATTTCTGACCTTCAGAAGCTATTATTAATAACAATAAAGCTGAACTTCATTATCTTTCATATTTCAGACTTTAGTTTAAGTAAAATTCCAAGTTTATACAATATAGTGTTAATGGTTCTTAAAAATTTAATGTTACTATTACAGTACAAAAATTAATATATTATTTTTTGATTATATGATATCATATAAGTTGAGAATGGTTAGTGATTACCTGATCAAAATTTTTCTGCTACTACTATTCTACTTTAATTAGACTACAAATTAAATAAATTTATTATTACTCTTTTTCGCTAACTGATAAGTACAATTTTTTTAAATTTTCTTCTTCTTTTTGCGAAGCACGGTCTGGTTTAAAAAGTAATAAGGCTAAAACAAATCTTATAGCATTATGCAATTCTAAAACACGTTTTCAAGCCAAATAAATAGAATTCTATCTCATCTTTATGTTTGCTATAATATCAAGTAAACTTTCAATAATATTTTGACTCTTATTATATATATTATATTCATATTGTGCTTCGTGTAAACATTGCACCTGATTAGAAAGTCGAAAAAAAGCCTGTAAACTTTTAATATAATGATGGATAGCCTTATACTATTTTAATTCTTTCTTAACTGATAACTTAATATATGTGTAGCACAAGGCTGATGCTCTATATTAATAATGGTTTCTTGCAATAATTTTATCTTTTTTACTATATTAGCTCTGTTATCATTAGCTATAGTAAAAATTGTTGCCTCAAGATACCAATCATGAATTAGTCGAATTAATTCCTTACAAATTACTTCTCCAGTGTGTGGATATACAAGGTAATCACAAAAAAGTAGGGCCTCTTGAAACTTAAAATCAGAAAATAGTCAGGTTGCTATAATATCTAAATAGCCATGATGAGATTTTGCAGTCTATAGGTTGGTAGATAAATGAATAGCCATTACTAGAGTTCGAGACACAGGAGCATGGGCATGCCTATAGGCATACCACTTGGCCATTAGACATGCCCTAGTCATATGATATGTGTGTCGTATCTGATTGGCCAGCATGTCATAGTTGAGATTATCAGAGTTGTAAATTTTTTAATATTTAATTAGTATAATGACAACAAAATTTCAATTTAAAAAGTTTTGTAAAAATCTTTTATAGTAATCATAATAGAAATCATGCAAACTTAACCACATATTGTGGTCACCAAAATACAAATTCTGTAATAGTAAGTTATGATAAAGTCCTATAACTGAATTTTTCAGTAATAACAATAGAAATCAATATGTAGTAGTTACCAGAATATGTAGCAAGAATTTTTTACAGTAACTCATAATAGAAAATCATGATATTTTTAATGCAGACTAACTAAACTTTATTAACTACATACTTTAATCAACTACATACTATGTATCACTAGAAAAATTTTTTACACTAATTTACAATAAATTACTATAATTCTAGCAACAGAATTTTTTTATATTAAACTTTATGAAGCACTAGTTTTTTATATAAGAAGAGCATATCTATAGGCACAAGGAACATGCTGCAACTCAGAGCATGCTCTCAAAAATATGTTTGGTTTTTTACCTGTGCCTCAAACCCTAGCCATCACACTACTATTAATAAAACTCCCTATAGCAAAAAGAGGATGAGCCAAAAAATTAAAAATTTTATTCCTATGCTAATTTTATTCTAATCAATCTAATTTCTCAAGTTATTGAATTTTTTTAAAAAAAATTTTTTGGCCCATTCTTCCCTTTTGCTATGGGGTTCCTAATTAGAGATTTTAGTTGATCATTGCTCCAGTTATATGTTTCATGAATTAACACTTTAGAAGTTTTGTTACATAGAATTCTGAATCTGGGTTCATAAGCATAAACAAACTCATAAAAAGATTGATCTTGTAAAATATAAAAAGGTTGAACGAATCAAATAATAAATTGAATTAATTTTCTTATGATTAATTGTTGCTTTTGTGATAAATATAGTCATGCCATATTATAATAATAGTTAGTAACTTTGTTTTGATCACATTTTGGCTAAAAATAATTTAATATTAATTATATTTTTAATATATTAATTACTTATATTATATTTTAATCTAGCAATTAATTTCAGAATATTATATATACTTTATTATATTTATTTAAGTGATCAGTATAATTATTTTTAGTTATATTGTACTTGTCACGTAAATAGAAAATCATATTTGATATATTGCCACCTTTATGAGTATATGGATAGGGTTTTTGTCAAGAGCCAGCAAAATTATGCTTATATATTTTATAGTATACAAGGTCAGAATTACTTATATCAATACAAAAAAAAAATCTAGTATAATTTTTATTACTACAGACAATTTTAGTATTAGCTTTTCTCTTCTTGCAACTCATAGTTAATATAGTCAATATAGTTGATGGCATGGTAGTAGACTCTTTAGCATCAGAGAAAGGAGAAAAAGATATTTTCTTTGACTTTTTTTTTTTTGTCAATAAAATTAAACTTTATCATTATCATTATTATTATATATAAACTCCATTCCATGTGAAATTTTATTTAACATTTATGCATACTATATAGTTCCTTGTAGTTAACTTGTTAGTGTAATAAATAAAATGTATTTTGCTTTGCATCTTATATGAGGTTCACATGGTGAAAATAGCTTGATTAAGATATGGGTGAAGATTTATTATAACTATGGATCTTAATTATTTGATTATAAATTCATTTTCATTTACTTATTAATAATATTTATGCCAAATCATTGCTATTTCTATAATATAATAATAATTACATTTTCATATTTGCACGAATATAGTTTGCATAAATCTCAATATTGATATTTTACACACTAATCTTAATTAGGTATAATTATTAATTTAAAATTTTTATCAATCTTATTATAATATTGAAATAATTCTAATGCAGAGAATTAATTCTATAAATGTTTAGTAATTCCACGATCCACACTTGTGGAATTGTGGATCAACAATTTCAATTCCACAAGTATAGAATCATTAAATTGACAATATTATAGTGCAGAAGTTATCTTTTTAATATTTCATATTCCTATCCTAACTTTTTAATTTTCTTGCTATATTTATTATAATAAAATAATAAGATTAAAATAATTAAGTTATTGCTGCAAAGAAGAAACCTTGAAGAGAATATTATTTATATATATTAGTATTGATGATAGATGTGTTGGTAATTTCATTAATATAATTGTTATATAGCTAGATTAGACATCTTAAAAAAGATTATCAAAAATGTAACTTTCATCAATTATACAATTCCATGCTTATGAAATTGGAATTACTGATCACCAACAAGTGTGAGAATTGTGGTATTACTTATCAATTCTACAATTCTACCTTTGGAAACTGTGGAAATTACAAGTGTATAATTGTGAAATTGTGTAACTACTAAATAATTAATAACTATCATTTTATAACTATTAAAATTAATGATTATCAATACACTTGTAGAATTGGAATTGCTGATCAACAATTCCACAAATATGGTATTACTAATGTTATTGGCAGTTTGCAAAATAGTGTGACTAGTGATTTTATGATGATGGCATTAACTATATTTATTCGAAATCTTTAAAATTCTCCAAGAATCAAAATAACCATGATTTTATATGACATCTGATCTATGAAGATTGTACCTTTTTGCAAACCGCCATCAATTCTACAATTTTAGGCTTGTGAATTAGAATTGCTAATTAAATATTCAAGTGTAAGAATTGTGGTATTACTAAAATTATTAATAATAATGTTATTAATTCTATATTTTCACCTTAAAAACTGTAGAAATCACAAGTGTACAATAATTATCAATTCTACAATTCCACCCTTGGTGTTTTAAAATTTGTAAAATTAATTCTCTGCATCATTAGCTAAGATAGTTTTACAAAATTATAGTAATAGAGACTTCAATTATAGCGGTTTGTGGCCCTGTGATTTTTGAATGATAATAATAAGAAAATTCTGAGATTTCAAATAGTCTACCAATCATATATTCAATCAGTAATATTTATTGGATATTTGTAAAATTCTCTTAGAATCGAAAAATCACCTGCAGAGGTCACAATAGAGCGGGTCTCAAAAACTTAAAAAATATTTTAGATTTCTCATAATATGGGGTTGAGTTAATAGAAATCAAGCAAATATTTTTTAATAATTTTTTTTAAAACTTTAAACAAAAATAACTTAACAAAAACTTGATCAAATTTAACAAATTTTTTTTTAAACTAATTCTAAAAGTTTATAAAAATTATTTAAAAAAATTTTTATTAAATTTGGTTACGTTTTTGTTAAATTATTCTTGCTTAAAGTTATAAAAAATTTTTATTATAAAAAATTTGCTTAATTTCTATTGACTCACCCTCATATGTCAATATGAAGATAGCTAAACATTTAAGGCAAGCTAATAAGGTAATCAAGGTTCTAACAATCTTAATTTGTTTAGAATAATGCGAATTATAGCATATGCCAAAGTCAATTTTTAGGGTCTTATATGTAGTGCAACAAGAGATGCAACTTTGATATAGTATATAGTGCAAATAAGGTATTACTATTTTGGTCACTTTTATTACTCGCTTATTGTATTTGTTCTTAACTTCACTATGAATTTAGTTTATATGCGAGTGGCATCAAGTGAAACC